TAAGGTAATTGATGCATATTTTAAATCGAAAAATGAGACGGAAAATCGATGTGATTTTGGGTAAAAGTGATCGAATATATAATGCTCGTGCATAACGCGTTCTTAATATCTTGTGCAATTGTAATTTTGCAGTATATATTTTTTGCACACAATATACATTTCACTTTATTACTAATCTATAATGGTTATTTCATTTTTAAAAAATTACGTAGATTTTTTTTATAATGATCTGGTCAAAAGTAAGTTTCATTTTTTGTAATAAATAAAACAATCACTTTCTTCTCGAAAATTCAAAACAACAATATTTCACAATACAATTTCAAATTTATCATAATAAATACTAATGACAATAGTAATTCTGAGAACCATCTACATAAATATTGCAGTTTAAACTGCAAGTTTAAAAAGGGCAGCTCACATTACATTTCTAGTAAAACAAAGATCATATGCATTATTCAAAAATGTCTGTCCTTTTGACGCCAGTATCCCTCAGCATATTATTTTAGACATTTTGTGGCGCCTTCGGGATTTCTTGCCTTGCCTATAATTTCTATAAAGTGTTTTGTCTATTGTACAAATTACCAAAGCTTATTGCGATTGGTAAGTATCAGACGACACTGTCCGCTCACAATAAAAAAAAAGATGAGTGTTGGGTTCATTTTTTGAAAATCCGTATAATCGGCCTATGTGAAAAAACACAAGCCGATCCATAGCTAATTCGAGCCGCAAGACAGCATCGCAACAAACATCGCCCTGGATAGTACTTTAAAACAGGGTGCCTAAACCTTGATGTGCAGGATTTAAAAACAAGAAATTATTTGGATAAAAAATATCAACTCTTGTTAGAAATAATACCAAATTATCCCAGTATGGCGGGGCACAAAGGTCCAATTTGACTTTCAGCAATTATATTGTAAAAACAACGAATGCAAAACATAAAATTTCTGGGTACATTTTTTTTTTTAGTTCAAATTAATAAAATTTTCACACATGCAAGTTTTGCATGATGATTAGATAATTGTAAGATTTTAATATCAATCTTGAATATTGGATTAAAGTAAATAAATATAAGATAGATAGCTATTTCTACATAGTAATTACTTACAGTATGAGTAATTACTGACCTGAAGACTAGTAGTAGTATTCGATGCAAGTTCTATATTTTCTATTTACTTTTTTTTCTTCTTAATTATAACTTAATAATACTTCTTAGATTTTAATTATTTATATTCGCTATTTGCTTTCATATTTCCATATTCTTTATTCTCTGGCATATCAATTTTTGCGTGCTCTTCCTGTAACAAATTTTTAATAATTTTTATACATATTCGAATGTGCATCTATACATTACAAAATATATGCAATTAAGTTACCAAATATGCATAATATGTATTATGTTATATGTTAGTATACAAACTTTATTTTAGTAACTTAAGTTATGAAATTTTCAATATTATTTAAAAAAAATCATATAAATAATATGAATAGGCGTTTATGTAAATACATAAATATTCAATGTTTACATTTTATAATATTTTTAGTGAATTTTAATTGTTATTTGCGGAGTCTAATTTTAATTGTGAATAATCAAGCTAGTATAGGTTTAATTAAATAATTTAATTAATAAAATTTATTATAATAATTAAATTAATTTCTGTTTACAGTAATAATTATTTATATATTTTTATATATTTAACAATTTATATTGTTTATCTTGAATACCTAATTTATTTCAAAAATTGAAATTTTAAGGAAAGACAAAAAGTCACGAAATATCACGTGGTGGAGAAGAGTCTAGTTGAAAATTAAAAAAATCCAAAAATTATCAAAAAATACCAAAAATTTCAAAATTTATTTATGTATCAGAAAGGGAGGAGAAAGGGTCCAAAAATCTTTAAAAAATTGATCACGTTATTAATAGACGCCTGCATATTGTAAATGTTTTAGGTCAGGGCTTCTTAAACTTTTGTCCTTAGGGACCCAATTTACGACTGCGAGTTTCTTGGCGGCCCCATTTATGACTGCGAGTTTCTAGCCGACCCCACAGATATAAACAAATAAATTAATATTTTTAAATAATTTATGTATTTGGTAACAATGTACATATACATATACATATGAAACTATATAGTTTAAGAATTTGTTGAACATACAAAAATCAAGACGTGATGATATGAAAAAATATAAAATCACTCGCGACCTCAGAATTTTTCCCCGCGACCTTATTTGGGGTCGCGACCCATAGTTTAAGAAACCCTGTTTTAGATGATACGTGTGTGACTCTGTGTTATATAGAGTAAGTCGGGGCACAAAGGTCCAATTTTACTTTGAGCAATTATATTGTGAAAACAACCAATGCAAAATGTAATTTTTTGGGTACATTTTGTATAGAGATAACATTATATATAACCTTGATCTGGTATTTTGTCACAAATATTCATCAGCAGAGTTGGAATAACTATTACTTTAATTTATCTCTTGTAAAATTGCTTATTTTAGCTCAATATATTTTATTTTCTATTTTTTAATGTGTACACTTTTGCCGGGGTGAAGGTTCAGTTGGTCCTTTTTACTTTCATATAGATTATATAAAAAAAGCGATTGAATCTAACTTAAAATTAGCGATACATCGTATAAATTAATTAAATACATATGTACTTGAAAGTTATATTAAGGTCTCGTAAACTAAACAACAGTGCTCACAACCAAAAAAATTAACAACGTAAGAAAATACTTTGCTATTCATTTTCCGCTAGCAACGTCCAGCACCGTCGTTAAGAATCAAGGTAATGGTTGGTTGTACATCTTTTTCCCTCTACTTTCAAATATTGTTGGTAAAAAAATATTTTATTTTACTATTTTTGATATCTTAGTTGTGGACCTGTTTAAAGGCGGTCTTTTAAGCCCCACTCTACTCTATGTGAAGATTTATAATTGAGATTTGAAATTATAATATCCTATTCAATTTTAACGTCGACTCTTTTGGTATTTTCTTATGGTAATTATTAGAATTACAAAAAGTGTTAAAAATATGCTAATTACAGTTGTCTGAGTATATCACATTCAATCATCAAAACTCATCTTTAATTAATATATCTTCTCTAGGTAGGCTTCCACTTGGTCTTTTATCGTGCATCTATGACTATTTTAAATCGATTCAAATTTGCTGAAGTTCTAAATTAATTTTTGAAGACTGGCTGACTGATTTGAAGGCTGCTCTACCGCGTTCTGTTTAATTTTTATTATAAACACGTATTATAGATATACCTATATCTCATCAGTTCTATGCTAAAGTCAAAAGTTAAGTTGTACCCGCGCCATGGCTACTTTTAAGTCAGACTGTACACCTCTTGGACTGTTAAACAGCGTACGTCCACCACACACGGGCCTACGCAGTACCGTGTGAACGCTTCACCTGATAGAACGTCTTAATTTTACGTTGAAATTGTTAAAAAAATACGTTAAAAATGATAAAAAAATTGTTTAATCGGTTTTTAAAGGTTATGACGTTATGATGAAAAGTGATGACATTTGACTTTAAAATTAAGTGAATCTAATGAAGTTGGTTTTTGAATGACATGAAGTTGGGTGATTAAATTTTAGCGGTTTTATAAACAAACTTGTCAGCGGACTGAAGTTAGCAGTGTTTTGGTCGATTTGTGTCATTTGCAAAACGTCATTAAATTAAAAAAAAAACTGAAGAAATATATGTTAAAATATAAAGTGAATATTGTTATACTTTATAATTATAAATTTATATTAAAATTGGTTTTGTATTTAGTCGAGCCGCTTTTACAACTTTTTTTTTTAATGTTGTCATCTTTAAAGTTTCTCTAATGTTGTGTCAAAATTTGACATAATTGTTTGTTAATTATTATAATCAAATTATTTTATTTTTTTATTATTTATTTACATATATACATTATTTTCATATCTCAGTCAGACAGAGGTGCCTGGTATGAGAAATTAATACTTAAGAGCAAATTTTATCTCAACTATGTGAAAATTATAAATAGACATTTGTTGTGTGGCAGGCCCAAGTGAGCAGAATAAAATTTAGTTACTATTGATTAAAATTATTTCAACTACTTGACATGTCATTTTCTTTTTTATAAAATCCCGCGCAATTGCAAGTTGGTTTTTGAATGACATGAAGTTGCCTGTTAATTTTTAGCGGTTTTAGAAACAAACATGTCAGTGGACTGAAAGCAGTGTTTTGATTGAATTATAAAAGTCATTGAAAATAAAAAACTGAAGAATTATATGTTGAAATATATTGTGGATATTGTTACTTTAGGTACAATAATTATAGGTACAATAAATTGGTGTTATTAAATTTGGGTTTTGCATTTGGTCAAGCTGTTCTTATGCATTTTTTTTCTTAAATGCTGGTACGCTTATTCAATATCTGTCAAAATTGGACTCAGTTGTTTATTAACTATTATAATCAAATTTTAACGGTAATAGTGACTTATAAAATTTATTTCAGTGAGCAGAATAAAATTTAGTTACTGTTGAATAAAATTATTTTGTTAACTAGACATCACATTTGTCATTTTCTCGTAGTTGTTTTTCAATCTGTATGTTTTTAATTTTCTTCTCCGACGATGATGATGTCGTTTACGAGATTATCAATGAATTCTAAAATTGTGACAACGAGCTCAAAGGTCAAATCAATTTCGACGGCCGGGTTAAGCGGCTAAGCCAGCTCGCGTGGATTAATTCAATTGAGATTCATGTACGGTCTGTGTATGTCAAAGAGTCAGTTTGAAATTATGTTGTTTGCTACACAGACTCAACTTTTTCAAACCCAAAAAATAAATGTTTCCAATTTTACTATAAAATGTTTATAAACAGTGCTTTTTATTTATCGAATTCTGGAACAAAGTTTTTGTGAAAATTGACTGTGCACAAGATTTACACAGTGCTGTCTGTTATGTGTTGTGAGAGTTTTTGACAATAATTGCGACTTAAAATTGTACTTGATTTATTGTATTTAAGCTTGTGTAATAAAAATAGTTGTTTGTGGTGCTGCAGATGTGGACTGTGGTTTATTATTGACATTTAGAATAACAGTTATGGGCATTAAAACCACGATGAAGGCGTTCAACAAGACGAGAGGTTAGTCTTAAAGAATATTTATCTATATTGAAAATTATAACATAATATAAATATGACTTCAAATATATTTTTTATGCCACATGTTATCGTAGTAGTCCACCTTATTTAACCCTTAAGCATGGGAGATAAATACAGAACAAATGTGCATACCTTGTTTTATTGTTTTCCGCACTCAACAGTGAGTTTACACTGCATGCTATCTTTTAAAAATGATTTTCTAATTATAATATATATATTTATATATATATATATATAGTCTAGTAATCGGATATAACATCAATAAAAAACATGATTTCTTTTAAAAAAATATTTTACATCCATATGTTTCGGCCATACAATTCTTTAATGCATGTTTGCCAAGCATTAAAGAATTGTATGTTCCCTGTAAAAAAAACTTTTTTATAAATCTGAACTTCGACTTGTAAACAATTTTTGTACAACGACTAGTACTATTTTTACCAAAACCAAAACCCCTTTATATATCAAATGACTTAGAAATCTCGTTTATCAAATAAATTGCCTGGATTGTAATTTAATTTACATAGGAGAAACAAGCCAGAACTTAATTCAACGTTTACAACAATATAAATTCAAAATAATTAAAAAAATCGCAGACAATTTAAAACTATGCTTGCAGACCACATTAATACTTTAAAACACAATATAGACTTTTCTAATCCCACTGTGCTACAAATCGAACAAAATTTATTTAAACGAAGAATTACAGAAGAATCTTTTTTAACTATTTATAACAATAAGACAATAAATAAACGGAATGAACTTGACACGCTGACGACACAAATCTCTTTTATTTAGATAGGATTTCCAAATTTCTCACAAAACAATAAAATGGTCGCGCAAAGGATTCGCAATTCGTTCCACACATGTGTAGAATCTTGGTAAAAATATTTTTTAAAAATGTCTTTCTCCATTATATCTTCAACCAGTCTACGAACAACACATATATTACATACTATCTATTTGTGATTTTTTAAAATTAGTACTTTGTGAAAAACGTAGAGGTAAATATACATGCTACAGTTAGTGGCGCCTCTATGGAGTGCGTATACAACTAAAATTGTACTAATGGCCGTGTTTGTTATCTGTTTATACTTTTTTATCTATGGTATCAAGTGAATAAATATTGTTAATGAACAAATTAATGTAACTGATTTTTTTTAGAATTTCTTTGTGCCGAGTACATAACGTTGACTATAAAAATCTTGCAAAATATCTTCTTTATAAGAGCTTCCATAATTTAGAGTTTAGACTATCTTAAAATATATTCAAATTTGATTATGCTGCTCTTATATTTTATAAATGTCTCATGCAGTAAATTTATTATATAGTTATATATAAACTAAGAAACAATCACTTTAAAAATACAAAATCCTCTTTCCATTACCAGTGGTTTTGAAAATTGACATATATTTGTAACGTGAATTTGTTTTTCAATCTTGCTCTGGTAGTGTTCTGGCAAAGGTTTCTGGCAAGTGAGTTTGGATGATCCTCGATGAGGCTTTTGAATTTGTCTGAATGTCATCAAGTTGTTGCAAAATTTATTATCTTGTTCATAGCTGCTTGATTCTTTAGGCTATCTAAAAAGAAGTTAAAACTTGACAAATTATCTCATACTTAAATTTTATAAGATACAAAATATATCACGAATTCTGTGCAATAAGCATTTTTTAATTAGCAATAAAAACAATTCAATCATCTTTCAAACTTAGCACGAGTAGGTTTCGTTTACAATTTGTTTCCAAAACTTTAGTTTTTTTTGGTAAATGGCAGTAATATATCTTTCACTTATTGTATTTTAAATACAATATATATATGAAGAGCTCATAAATGACAAAAACCATACATTTCTTGGAATACGGTTGGCGAAATAATACTCGAAACATGTGGCAAGTTTTACAAAAACAAACATATTGGGTGTAAGGCTAAAGTAAGGCATTGTAAATAAATCGGAAATTTGAGACAAACGTACAATTCAGAAATAAGTTTTTAGTTATATATTAATTTATTTTAATTTAATCTTCTTTGATGCATTATATGGTATTTATAAATATTTTTTGTTTAAGCGGTGGAGACGCCATATACAAATTAATTTTTGCTAACAATTGTTCTAACTGTTTTTATAAAATTGTCGTAGTTTTTAAAGATATTCACGCAACATTTAGAGTATAAATTATAATAAGTAAAAATTCTGAAATTGTTAATATTAGATCTTAAAAACCCCATTATTTAATAAAAAAGTGTGCAATTTAATGTAAAATGTTGTTTTTTACTTTAAACTCCCTTTATTAAAATTAGTTGAATCGTTTAACACATATTTATCAACCTGTAGAGCGCGGTTTCCAAAAAAACCAAAAAACTCGTGTTTATATAAACAAATGAATGACCAATATTTTTATGTGTTTTTTTAATAATATTGTGCAGAATTTGGTTGCCCAATGTTAATTGTATCAGTTGAAAAATTGTGAAATTGGATTATTACAAAGATTAAAAAGAGCGAGACATTTTATTTTTATTCCGGAGGATTTAGTCCGATAAGGTTGAAAACCACTGACTTAACTCATTGTATATTTTGATTATTAATTAACTAAATGATTTGATTTAATAATAAACAATTATTACTTTAATTTAAGATCGAAAATAAAAAAAAAATCATAACACATAACAAAAAATATTTGAAAAGCTTAAAAGTACATCGGCAAATAGTGTTTCAAAGTAATAAACATATAAGAAATGTTGTCTACGTCTTTTCAAAAACGAAAATTCGAAACCACTTATAAGAATCAATTAGTAATCACGATGATTGTTCTATGTAAATAATATTTGAAAAGTTTTATTGTTTCTACAGTTTATTCTTTTTAAAGTGAGTTTAAAGTTTAAAGACTTTTTGTAGGATATAATCTACGATTGAAAATTTTTGTTTTTATTTTTTTTACAACTATTTATATATACTAATAGCAGTTTATTTTCTATTCCCAACATTATTGTTTTTAATAGCCATATAGCTATTTTAATGCAGTCAAAAATTGAAAATAAATATTATTCTGTATTTTGTATATTTTTATGAATACTACTGCATTATCCTTATAAACTTACATTAATAGAATATCAATTCGTCAGTACACATTTCCATGTTTATTTATTACGCCAGAATATACCTGGCATCTTTACAGTGTTGTGAGCAATAAGCAAACATTGTCTTAGATTCAAACAATAATTCAGCGTCCGACGGTCTGTAATTTTATTGAGTCTAGATCATTTGCATTGTTTGCTGTCGGACGCTTGTCAGACGAAAACATGGGCGATGCTAAAAGTAGAGACACATTGTAAAAACATTAACCAGATGCCGCATTTCGTACGAGATTATACCATTGAACAAACAGACTGAAAGAAATCCGAGAAAAGGATATTGAAAGATATTGTGCAAAATTATATTTTTATTGAGAAAAATAGAGCCGAAGACAAATTATACATCAGTTTGTCAGATTTATTTATAGAGATTTTTACAATATTTCTACACTTTTTACCAACTTTGCAAAATGTTTTATATCAATAATTATACCGTTTTTGGAAGGCAAGTAGATGCAATATCACATGATATTAACTGTTCACGTGATTTCCAGATATTTTTAGATATTCAAATTATCTCCGAATTTCCCGTGGAGTAAGTTGTAGTAATTGCTAAAAAAAACGAAAATGAAAACAGTTATATATCTTTACGTTTAAGAGGTTTTTGGAATACTTTAGAAAAAATGGATGTGTGTCTGTGCGGATACAAATAAACATTCGATTTCTACTGATAAGGAGACGTGCTGATTAATTTTGGCAAAGGCAGATCTAGCCGTTTCGGAGATATGGGGCAAAAATGATATTTCAGTTTTTGAGATAACGGAGCGTCCGATTTAAATAATTCAAAAAACATTTTACTTGTTTTGACAAAATGAAGAAATAATTAAATTTTTGGAAAGGCATGTCTAGCGGTTTCAAAGATCGAGCAAAAAAAGTGAAAAAAAAAGCAATTCGGGGGTCAAAAATGTTCATTAGACTTAAGCAAATCAAACTATCAGATATTTTATAAAAAAATTATTAAGTATAAATTTTGTTTACATCTCTATACGTTTTGTACCAATGTTTATCTGTTACACTGCAACGCGGCGCTTACGCGATTCAATATTTCTTTTCTAAAACGGCCACGCAGCACGAATGCTTTGAAAAATGTTCAAAGTTTTCAAAATCTAATAAAAAAAATCTAATTTTTCAAAAAAAATTCATAATGAGATTTTTAAAAATTTTGAAAAAAAAATACGGCTCTGGAAGATGCAGCAATTTACCTTAAGGCACGATGCCTAGTTTTTTAATTGTTTACAAACAACTCTGACATAGATTAGAGCGGGACTTAAAGGTCCGCGTGTTAAAAGGTTCACTATCATTATCTTAAATATACTATAGCATATTTTAACGTTACTATTTTATACTAGAAGGCAAAGTAGTAGCCAAAACCTTAATTTCTACATTCTTCTCTATCGGGAGATGAACGGTCATGTATCGATATTTCTAACAAAAGTTTTTTTTTTCTTTGGCAGTTTTTTTTGGTTTGGAGTTTATGATACTTGTATATACTTCTTAAATATATATATTTCAAATTGGATTTATATAGTTTTGTTTATGTTACCACTACGTAAGCCACCCTCATGTAAGGTGGCGTAAAAAGAACCAAGTAAGTGTTAACAAACAATAAGAAAATAGTAAATGAAGAGATAAATTAAATTACTAGTTATTCCAACTCTGCTAATAAATATGATTCACAAAATACTAGATCAAGGTCATATACTGTGTGAGTTTTGTAAAAAAAGTTATCATGAAATTTATATTACGCATTGGTTAAATAATGTAGCTATTTTTTCGAAATCCCTTTGAAATTAAAAATTAGACATATGATCTATTTGCCGTCTGGCTGTCTCTTTTTACCTCGTCTATGGGGT